ACAAACGATTCAATGTAACACAATTAGAAAAAATTTCGATGAATCATTTCATCGGAACTAGGAGTAAGTTGTTTCATATTGGCTTCTGTCGATTTTGCTGAATATTGACAAAATACAAAATGAATAAATCGATTCGAATAAATTATCTTTTGCTATTAAAACACGTCAATTCAATTTCAATTCAACGAATTCTTTCATACAATATAACACACTTGAGATTCCTAACTGGAATGACTTTTTTGAATGATCGATTAATCATTCTATATTTCTCTGTAGTTTATTGATACTTTAAGAAAAAATATCACAAAATATTGACGAAAATCTTGTAAAATCCAACTACTTAATGAGGAAAGTCCTCCTAATAATAAATGGCTTTTGAGTCAAGACTACATTCATTATGCAGACTTAGCTCATAGCTGCGGAGATGCTGCACTATTACGGTATTTTCGAAGTTTGATTTGAAACTTTGCATATAGACAGGTCTTAGCAAGAGTAGTTTCTTTTTCTCAACGTTTAAGATCTTGTCGCTATTTCTATCCTAAGATATAAGTATGGTAATAGCGTGTCTTCTATATCGCTCATATAAATTGATAGATTTGGCATTTTTATTTCAGGATAGAAGCAAATCAAAAGACCTAAAACTACTCTTATTAAGGTCTGTCTCTATTCGAAGTTTCAAATCAAACTTCGAAAATACCGTAATGGTGAAGTATTTCAGTAGCAATAACCTAAGACCCCAAACTCTTCTCTCAAAGTATTCATAGCTCATTTGGGTCTACATAACGCACATAGTCTCGACTCGAAATCAATTTATCTGTTGGAAGACTTCTCTCGTTAGAGATTGATTACTACTCATTTAGTATGAACTACTAAGGTTAGTCTGAAGCAAGAATTGAAATTAGATATCTACATAACCAAAACGATTTGTTCTATTAATTGATATACATAGATCTATCTTAAAGAGGATATTATCACGTGAAATTAATGCAAAATAATATTTATGCGACAGCTCTCATATAAGACTGAGTAATAAAATAGGCTGACCGTCTATTTTAAGCATCTAAATTTAGTTTATTATGACTTTCGAATATGATATTTCTCGATTAAATGATGTTCTCCATCACATATCTTGAGTAAATATGAAATGTTTCTATTTTAAAAAAGTCAAGAAGACTTACTCATCTACCAATAAAAACTTCTTTTGGTTGTTCAAGTCATTCCTTCGATAATTTTCAAAAAGAGTTACTTGTATAATCAACTTTATTATTCAAACAAAATTTATTTCGTATATTTAATCGATCAGTGAATGCGTATGACAGAAGTCAGAAGAAAAACGAACCTAAATAAATATACAAATAATAAATTTCGATTAATTCACATCAATTCGTTGGATTTTTTTCTGGTTGTATAAATTGTTTTCGAAAACCATGAACAAGTATTCGCCATGTTTCATTCAATTAAGGACGCTATTAACATAAAACACTATTTCAAACGAAAAGAAAAAAAAGACATTTCATTAATTACTCAATCGGAATGTACAGTTAATTTATTATCAACAACATCTATCAATAATGATTCATGTGTCCAATATTCATAAGCAGATGTATATAATATATATTATTTATGAAAAATGAACAAAATTCGATCAGCATTGTAAAAAATATTTCGTTAAACCCCACACAGTAGAAAATTATTTTAGATTATCAAATATTTTCTCGGATTTGTTCTAGTTATTACCGTCAAGCTAAAAATATTTCGTTTTTAAATTTTTTGCCTCCATCTTAACTCTCATAATTAAAGTAATTAGTTTTTTTTTGTAAATCTCACTTTAACAAAACCGATCATGATGAATATAGTTTGAGATGATCAATATTGGAAAATGTACATAATAAAAATGGATCCTAGAATTGAAATATTTTATGATAAATCTCATTTCATTTACAGACACACACACACGTGATCTGGTTTTCTTTCAATTGTCATACTCTCACGAAAACCAAACATTTCAGTCAAACTGATTAATTCCTAGAATGTTTCAAGGTGAGAAAAGAAAATAAAGAATTATATTATATCCTTCGTCTTATTGATCACTACTCACAGATAGACGAAATTCGATCAGTTCATGAGCATAAAAAAGTAGATATCTAGGCATTTATATAATTAAATAAATTTTCTACAACAAAAATAACTAGAATCTCTATTGCACATGATTGACTTAGTATTTTCAGTCGTTAAAAATAAATTTGATATTCATCTGTTTTATTTCACAAACAAACAAACAATACTCTGGTAAATATTTATTGCCGGAATAGAAGAAACTTAGAACAAAAAATGTTTACATAAAAAAAAAACTACAGGACCACTAATTTAGTTCGAATAGTTTATCATCGATAGTAATAATGTAGAGTTCATTTTTGTAAATATTTATTATAACATTAACCAGTTGTAATAATGTTCAAAAACAATAACAAGTCTGAAATTAAACAAAACAAAAACATATATAAGTAACTTACCTAATATAAGATTTCATCCTGCTTGTGAATATTATTGCAACATAACTGATCTTCTTATCTTGATTATTTGACAATGATGATATAATAATAATGCCAGTTGGCAATAACCAAATCGATTTTTCGTTAGATATATATTCTAACGAATGCTTCGATTTCTCTTCTGCATATTGGACATGATCGTGATTGACCACATTCAACACATGTTGCCATGAGTCCGCATGGTATACAAACTAATTGCGTCTCTTCTGTCAAACAAAGAACACATGGATTGGATGATGTTGTCATTTCAACATCTGTTGAATTTGCTACTGATTGAGCTGTATTAGATGTTGTTGTTGACTGTTCATGTATTCGTGCTTCAAGAAAAAAAAAAGAAAAAGTAGATATTGCAAATATTCCTATGTGAATCTTACCATTTTGTTCTCGAATTTGTTTCATTTTTATACTTGGTATAACAATGTTCTCTTTTTTACCATCAATATGTTCAATTTGTTTTTGAAGAATTAAACAAGCAATATACAAATCGCATTCAGATACAAAATCATCGTCTACAAAAAGAAACTAATGTTCGAAAAATTCTACTATTTTATTTTATTTACTCACGTTTTATCCGTAATTGATCTTCCCAACATCGTTTAATAATTGGTAATTTAAAATTTTGACCTAATAAACGTCGTGATATTGGTAAATCTAATCGAGCAGCAACAAGTCTCGATAAAGTACGTTCATCGGGTATTAATAATAGTCGACTATTGGATGTTGGATTAGTAGTTACCACCTCACCAGAACCTGTTCTTTCTTTTAATTCATTGCCACGAGCATGTTCTAGACAAAAAAACAAAAAAAAGGATTCAATTTTTATAATTTTTCAAACATACCTTGTTGTGCTCGTTTAGATTCTTGAATTTTTCGATATAAATCATCACCACATAATTGTTGAGCATATGCACAATGTGGAAACCAACGTGCATGTTCAATCATTGGATTATCATTTGGACGCCAATTTTGTAATGATCCATTACAATAAAAACAAGTAGCAATAGTTTTCGTACCTGTATAAAAAAATCCTGCTCGAACTAAATCATCTACTGATGGTAAATCTTCGGTTGGCCATGTTGCAAATGATGCATGACGTTTTGGTATTTCTGAATAAGCTGGATTACATGAAGCAGTAAACTTAATATCATTAGATCGCAATGGACCGAGATTATGAGATGTTGATAAACGATTGTCTCCAGTTGCATCTGTTGCACCTTCATTGACGATTATTAGAGAAGAAACTGAAGGACATATCAGTTTGGCTTTGACATATATACAATTAGGTGAAAGTGTTTTATGCACTTCACATGGATCATCTGTATTTGGTGTCCATTGTTGACAAATAAGATTACAATAAATGCATATCACTCGATCACCAACATTGCAATTAAAAAATCCAGCTTCCATCATTTGTGCACTTGATGGAATAGTACGATGTGGCCAGTGAGAAAATGTACGTCTCCGCACTTGTTGAAGTAAACTTGTTTCAAGTAAACTGTTTGAGACAGATTCTGAATCCATCGCTTCGATACTTTGGCGTTCAGAAGGATTCGTTTGTTCATTTGATAACGAAGATGGTATTATATTGTAGACGAATGGACAATCAGGTCTCTGTTTTGAATGAATAGTAAATGGATTCATATCTAATGTCCAGTTAGATATCTCAAGTCCACAGTCCTTACAACGAGCTGTATCTCCATTACCTGTATATTCAAATCCGGCGGCAGACATATGGCCTACAGTGTAAACGCCTAGTCTTTTTGTTAATTGAGCTAGTGATTGAATTCGATGGCGGATACTAGCCAAAGTTGGTGAATCTTCTTTCTTCTTAACACACCATTTTGATGAAGCATCCATGGATTCGAATTTATGAGATGGATCACTCAGAACATCAGTTGACAGTCTGGATAAGGTTGACATTGTATATTAGTTGTATAGTAGGTAAAATCTGAAAAAAATCTAATATATAAATATATAATTTTTGGTTGCTTAGAAGTTTCGAGTAGATTTAAATTATTCAACTAATCTCATTAACTATTTCTTGAAGCACAAAAACGAAAGAATCGAATCTACCCTAGATGGTATTTGAATTTCATTCAACTATGAAATGCAATGCGAAGCTTCGAATATTGAAAAATCCAACATCTCATACAAAAAACGAACGAGCGACCATTCCTACAATTGATCACGAAACGTTTTTCGCCAAAAAGACATTTACTATTTCCTAGAATCATACCTTTTTTTTGTCATTCTAAATCAAAAAGACTATTTTCCAATACTCAGCTAGAAATTTGCATTACAATCAAGGTCGTAACTATAAAAAAAGGAAAAATTCTTCACAACAGTACTTTCGAATGAAGTTAGATGAACAGCTCGAATTGAAGGTTTTGTTCAGAATTTTCTCCTCTTCAAAATACCATTTAAGACATAAGGATAGAACGATCTTCGACAGAGAAAAATGCTTCTCTGCCGAAGACCGTTCTATTATCACATCTTAGACGGTATTTTGAAGAGGAGAAAATTCGTAACGAAACCTTCAACTCGAGTTATTCATCTAACCTCATTCGAAAATAGTGTAGTGAAAAACTTTTCTGCGCTCTTTTTTGTCTCAATCGTGATCGTGATACAGAAAACTACACTCACTTATTCACACTCAAAATTGCTATTTTGAAATTAATTCTACCTCTTCTAATGATGCTGTGCTCGTTTCACTTCGAACTCAAATTTTACACTTTTAACACTTATAATACTCTAGTGCAAAATTTATAAACACCAAATAACCTCTCGTCCGAAAGTTCGAGTTCTTGCCTAAGGAATAGAAAAAAATGCGTAACTTTTTTTTTTTTGATTATGTAATAAAATTTCATATTATCATATGGAGCGCATGGTAATTTCCGCTTTCCAGGAAATTCAAATTTGACTGCGCCTCAAGTGAAGAATGATTTCAAGAAGGGTATGGGTTGGGTTGGGTTGGGATGGGTTGAATTGGGTTGAAATTGGTTGGGTTGGGTTGGGATGGGATGGGTTGAATTGGGTTGGGTTGGGTTGGGATGGGTTGGGTTGGGTTGAGTTGGGTTGGATTGGATTGGGTTGGTTGGGGATGGGTTGGGTTGGGTTGGGTTGAGATGGGTTGGGACGGGTTGAATTGGGTAGGGTTGAGTTGGGTTGGGTTGGGTTTGGTGTGGGTGTAGGTGTGGGTGTGAGTAGATGTGGATGTGGGTGTTGTTTTCTTTTAAGTCACACCCCACACTCACACACACACCCACACCCATATCCACACCCACACTCCACCCACCCCTAATTGTCATATACCTTAAAACTTGGCTAAAATCGATTTGAATGATGCCAAAGAAAGGTACATTACTTATATAGAATTTTATACACCTACCTGGTTCTAGTATACCCTCGATCATCAAAACAAAATCGTAGAAAGTGTTGGAAAATTCCAATATATAATGTACTCTCTTTTTCAAGTTAGAAATTTCCAAGCGTAGGCGGGTAGAAAGAAAACGAAAAAGAAAGAGTATGTTTCATTCATTCGATTCATCGGACGAGATTGGTAAAAAAATAACCCATAAAAAATACCAATATGTGACGTAACCTAACATATGTAAAGAATAAATCATAACGATAAATGTTAGCTATATATATTAGTAAAATGTACTTTAAAAGGTTAGTAATTATTTGAACAACGCAATTAATATTTCAATTCTGGTAGTGACGAATTTTGTTTGTGGGAAATAAATAAAAGTGTGTCGTCTCTGTCAACGTAATTCAAAATTGTCATGTTGATAGTAGTGATATTTGTCTTCCAACAAACAAAGGTATTTTATTGCTAACGGGTAATACCATTTAATCTAAAATCTAGATTACCGTAAGAAAATTTCTGTTTTGTTTTATTATAAAATAGTAATTTAGGAGTCCTAGTTCACTTTGAACAGCGTTCGCACGGATTAGTGTGATGAATACACCACACAGCACTGAATAAGGATGAGAAATCTATCTAAAGTAAACAAGCGTATATGTGAAACAAGCATTCAGAGTTATTTTTTGTTACAGTAGAAGAATTTTCGAATACTCTGAATGCAAATGTCCACATAGTTTCATTTGGTTTCGACCATTTAAAAAACTAAAAATTAAAAAATATGAATCATGTTAGGTGCAATAATGAAAAATTTCGACTATTAAATAGATGAGTCATAGATTTTTACGCAAGTTTTACTCATAATCTTTTAGAGTTACAAAACTGAATTATCTGCAAATATATTTTGCTTTTGATATTGAAGCAAGATAATTGATCTTTACGCAATAATTATTCACTGTTTCTTTTATTCGTCGCAATGGAAACTCCCAACTTATGATGCATTTGTTTATGTGTAGATGATTGTCAAAGACTACTCATCAATTGCATCATGAAACAATTTTCAAAACATTTTTCAATATTTTATGTTTATAGCAATGCCTCTTTCGACTTGTTGAGAAAGTTTTCTTGATCGAAATGAAAAATGTCAAATGAATAATTATAGAAGAAGATGTGAGTGTGAATATAGGTCAAAAAAAGACAGAAGCCACACTGGCATCTCACACTTTTCTAATAATGTCTATAAAAATTATTTTTCCATAACTAACAAAGAAACCCCTTGGACTGATACCTACCGTTTGAGTTATAATGTACCTACAAAAATATCTTGTTGAGACTAACAAAAATCTGAAAAAGTTTATCCCTATGGACTTTTAGAGCTGAGTTATGATTGTTTTACTGAATGTGTGACCCAGCTTTTTAGGTACGTACTAAAAAATCCGAAAAGAATGCTCTTTTGTTGAGATATTGAATTATTCAGGTAAACTCGATTTTTGAATCATGCATGTAGCAAACGAGGGTGTGGGTGTGGATGTGGGTGTGAAGGTGCGGGTGTGGGGTGTGAGTGGATGTGCATGTGGGTCTGGGTCTGGATGTATAGTGTATGTGGGTGTGGGTGTGAGGTATGGGTGGATTTGAGGATCTCTTTGATCACACCCACAGCCACATATCCACACCCTCTTGTCGACATTATCGTACTGTTTGATTGGATTTTTCTCATACTGTACGTGACGTCATACTTTCCCACATACTGTACGTGACGTCATACTTTCCAACATACTGTAGGTGACGTCATACTTTCCCACATACTATGGGACGAAAGTATTTGCTTTGTCTGCAATTTAGTGCCTACGCAACATCTTTTCTGCATTCTGATTAACTATTGATGAGCATTGAAAAATGTTAATTATATTTTTGTATAATTTAATTCTGATTCTTCATTTTCATTTAATTTGTTTTTAAATTTAGGGACGTTTTGTTAACGAGGCTGACGTCAACCAATTGTAGATATGTAAACACGTCATTGTAACTCATAGATATACGTAATTTACTTTTTCTTTTCTCTAGAATGTTTTTTAACAATGGAAGGTTGGAAAAATCCATAGTCATGACCTTTTTTTAATCTTTCTACTACAAATAAATTGTAAGAAAGAAAAATAATAAAACATGAAGTGAATAATACATGTATGTACTTTAGAATTCTTTGTCGACATTTTATATATCGGTTGCTACAGTTATGTTTGTTAACGAAACATTACTAAATCTAGAAAATAAATTTCACTGACGTCAATAAACAAGAAGAATAAAAATTAGTTATACAAAATATTTTCTAAACGAGGAATCAATCATAGATTTGGTAAGCTGGAATTATATTTTCGTAATATATATTTACATCTTCACTAAATGTATAAGTAAAACAGTCCAAAAAAAAAGAATTCATTGTACTCTTGTTTGAATCGACCCAAATAGTCAAACGTGGAAAAATATAATCACCACATAGAATTTTGAAACTAAAACTTTTTTTTTCTATATAATTAGAAGATTTTGAAATGATTCAAATGAAGCGTCCTCATACACAAGGCAGTTTTAGTTAAGGGTTTGTCAATGACCATTTTTCAAGTTCAACGATACCAGATCCTCCTATCATCTCTTCAGTAAAAAGGTCAAATAGTTTTTTACAATCTATCTGTTCAAAAAAGGCTGACCTTTTGTGCCAAGTAGTACAAACATGTAGAGCATTATTACAAAGACAAGGCATGCATACTATTATAAGTATGGCTTCTGCTAGATTCTATTATACGAGTATAGGTGATACAATCTGTTGTGATACTTGTGAATTAGGAGTATCTAGATGGATGTTAGACGTGAAACCATTTGTTATTCATGCACAACGCAGCCCCAAATGTGCATTTGTTCGCTCAATTCTATTTGATGATATGACTCCTAAATCATTAACGATAAATCTTCGTGAAATGAATTCGGCGTTAATGAATGATAAAAAGCCATCTAAACATCAGAAAATTGAAGCAACACAAGTTATTTGTTAGCCACATAGATTTATCGAAATTGACAAAATAAAGCAAATACGAAAACGAACTTTTTCACATTGGTCACATAGAACATCACCTTCAAGTGAACAAATGATTGAAGCTGGTTTCTTCAATTGTAATGTTGGTGATCGTGTCATTTGTTTATATTGTAATCTTATTTGTCAAAAATGGACACCACATACAGATGATCCATGTCAAATACATAAAACACTTTCTCCTAAATGTCCATATGTCATTTCAATGTTAGAGAATCAACCAATATCATCAGTTCATATCATTAATGAACAGGTCATGATAGATAGCCCTATAATGACAACAAATAACAATACATGTCTGAATAATAAGATTGTTGACCCTGCTATATGCCATACAAATTATACTGAAACCTCTATGTGTCATGCTTCTTTTGGTACATGATCAAATGAAAATTTACCGTCTGTTGATGATCTGGTCAAGGCTGGATTTTTTTGTACTGGCAATACAATTATTGTGACATGTTTTTATTGTAATGGATCATTACGGAACTTCGGAGCAAACGAAAATCCAATCGTTGAACATATTCGATGGTTTCTACATTGTGCATTTGCTAAAGAGTTGTGTGGTCCAGCGTTGTATCGAGAAATTCAACAAGTTGAAGGAAGTATAGATTATTTGATAAAGAAATATGAAAGAAATTGATATTATTTCATTGTAGGACATGACAATGATGAGGATGATGAAGTCACTTTCTCATCTCATATTAGAAGTCGTCTTGATTTATCGATCTCGCAAAATTTAATTGCTCAAGGTTTCCATTTATCAATCATCAAACGTTGTTATAAAGATCAATTCGATTTAAAACGTAAGATGGTTGTTTGTTTTTCATGCCTTAGAGAGGAAATAAATGAAATTCTATTTAACTCCTATGTCAGATGATGATTTTGCTGATGATTCCGATCTTCTAGTGGCTTGTATGATTCTTCAGAAACAAATTGAACGTATTGATAATAAGAAAGAAAATATTATTATTCCGAATATAAAAATGAACGAGATTCGTCTACGAGAACAAACAGGTGTTTGTAGTTCAACTTATATATGATCGATAGTTCAGTTTCATAATCTTGCAGAAAACTTGGCTCATGCAAAAGTATTATCAAACACTCAGGATAACACTAATATTGAAATGGCAATCTCATCACAACATATCAGAAGAGAAACGAATGTGGGTGATCAACAAAATGAATCACCACCACGATGGAATTTTTGTGTCTTATGTTGGAAAGAAGAGAAGTATCTTGCGTGCATACCTTGTGGTCATTCTCTTCAAATATGTCCATTATATAAAAGAAATATTGAATCTTTCGTACGCATATATGGACATGAACAATTAACATAGACTATTAAGAGAAACAGAAATATTCTGATTTTTCTGGTTGAACATTATATTAAAATTTTGATTTGGAAACTTTTTCGATTGAATATAAAAAGAACATTAAGAAATCAGAACAATACGAGAATTCCTGTCTGAAATAAATCATTCATGCTAACCTATACACCAGGTAGAGCCCATTGAATTGGTTTCGGACCCAACCAAATCCGGGTTCGAATCGGAAAATTTTGAATCCAATGAACTCTATTATCAGACCTTATCACTTACTTTCCAGAGGGGAGAATTATTCATTATCTTCAAGAAAAATACTTTTACTTAACGAATACAACTGACGCAAAAATTTTCCAGGTTTTTTTTTTTCGATTTGCTTTGAAACTTCAAAAACATTAAATGAATATTTTTGTCTTGAAACAAAATTGCTTAATACGATTCTTTTTATCTTTCAAGCATTTACAGATGACTA